CAAGCTTTTATGTGATTGACTTCAGGATTTTGAGCTATAGTTGGAAAGGTCTTCCTTGCTCCAAATTATTAGTGTCCACCCAGGAGTTATAGTAATTGCAGTTTCAGTTTTCACATTTAAATCACCCATGTTGCTTTTGTCTTACTATTGTGATTTCTTGACTGTTTTTGGCTTCACTTTCACAAAATTTGGCATTTGTAGGTTTTCTCGGTCCCCTAGTTTCACTAAATTAAAGATGTAGTTTTTATGTGGGATATGTATATAGGTATACACATTTATACTCCTGCATGGATTTGGGGGTGGATATGCATTCTTGTTGCTCTGTATGGTTTTAGAAGTGGAAAGATTTGAGACTAGGCCATCACCATGTTTTTTCCAGAACTTTTAGATAAAATAAAATTGTAATAACATGATACTATAAAGTGGAGAGGGAAAACTGGAGCCTACCAGGTGAAGTTCTGCACTAGTAAACTGGAACATCATGTTTTATTTTGCAGTAGAAAAGGTTTTTGTTTTGTTTTGTGGTTTGAGACAGGGTCTTGCTGTGTAGTTCAGGCTGGCCTTGAACTCACTATGTAGCCCAGGCTGGCCTCAAACTCATGGTAATGCCTCAACCTCCCAAGTGCTGGGATTTGCAGTAGGAAAGTTTTAAGATGTGTATGTTGGTTATTCTCAGCCTTTAGGAGCGCTAAGACATGGCATTGGTAGCAACTCTCAAATCCTTGGATGCAGTAGATGCAAGGGGGCAGTGCTTGTGACCAACTTTATCACTTTGGACCAGGAGTCTTAATTTTTTTTTTTTTGGTTCTGGGAATTGAACTCGGGACCTTGCGCTTCCCAGGCAGGCAGCAAAACCACTGAGCTAAATCCCCAGCCCTGGGAGTCTAATTTTTTTATGTTGTATTTAATTGAATAGTTGTTGTGGACATCTTGTGTTTCAAGGAAAAAGTGTTTGTGATAAAAATGGAGATGAAAGGGTTGGAAGATAATTATTGTTTGGGGGTCAGACAACTCCTTTGTCTCTGTTTTACTGGCCTTTCTCTTCAGGGTATAGAGGGATGAGAAAAGATTTTACTATTAAGATTATTTACTGTTGAATTTCATTGTTGCCAGATCAATAACACATTGTTACTTGGGACATAGTGGAAATATCTTGGTTACAGCATCTCCTGCTTTACAGTGTATTTCCTTGCAATGGTTTCTAATTCTCTATTATGAAAGTAAGGCAACTCTGTTGTTAGTAGGCAGAAACTAAAGTCAGATTCTTATCCTCCCAGTACCTAGTCCAGAACTTGTGACATAACAGGTGACTGGTAAAACTAGTTGACTTAATCCAGCTCAGAAAGAGACAGAAATTCTAAAATGTGTACTGTATTGGAATGCAAAATGTACGTTATAGTACTACTACCATGTTAAATAAAGGTACAGAATTTATAAAGTGTGAGAAATAGAGCTTCATCCAGACACAAGTCATGTGTCATATAATTCTGAATTGATTTTAGTTAAATCTCATACCGCTACATTTGTGTGTGTAGCTTCTGTGTACCTATACTATTGCTAAAAATATTTTACTTGGGCTTAAATGTATTTCACAATACATTACTTGGTGTTACTCATTGATAATAGAATTCTTTTCAGTCTGATACTGTTCATTTTCTGTCAACAGAAAATTACAATTATTGATTCTTCTATACTTCATAGTTAAGAAAGTATTGCTGGTGGGAGTGGAGTGGATTTTTGTTGTTGTTGTTATTCTGTATGCTCCCTTGTCTGTAAGCTGGTTTTTCTCTGTCTGCAGCTCACTTACATTATAATATCATAGAAATGATAGGTGTGAGTACCAGTAACTGGAGAGCAAGAGTATGCTTTTAAATCTCCCGTTTCCCTCCTGGCTCAGAGCCAGTGATATGAAGCCAGCACAAAGCAAAAGAGCCTATGAATTATGATGTTGAGCCATCTTATTGGAATGGTTTGGTTTGCAAGTGGCACAAAACAGATTATCAGTCTTTGCATTACTGCTTTACAGTCTAATTTTAATTTTTTGAAAGATTTTTCTTTAGCTGTAGACTGATGTATTTCAGGCCTTGGGAGCAGCTGCTGTGTTGCAGCACATTAATTAAAGGGCAATTATTACTACTATGCACCAGGGTTCTTGCCACCCATTTGATTCAGGGCTGTCGCTTGTCTCTTGTGCCAGGTGTGCAAATGAGGTTCAAATCAGGAGTTAAGGATTACTCTATTAAAAGGCTTAGTAGCTTTTCCTTATTACCAAATACTATGGTTATTAGGTATGCTGCATATAATTAGAGTTAATGCTGCCACGATTGGTTGTTTACAATTAAAAACTAGATAGTGGTGTAGCACATGGACCTAATTAGACAAACCTGGGTTCAAGACATGGTTCCCACTTCCCAGCTGTGTGATTTTAAGCAATTTACTTGGCCTCTCTGATCCAGTTTTCTTCTCTTAAGAGTATACCAATACTAACTACATCATGGTGCTGACAGATATTGGAATAATGCACCTAACTCTGTCCTTGGCATATAGTAAATACTCAGAAAATGATAGTTGTTATTGATTGGAGACTGACTGGCTATGTTTTACTTTGTTGACTGTAAAAATCCAGTAATTATAAGAATATGCCATTATTTTATGCACTATTGAAAATTATAGTATAGGGGGCCAGGGATTTAGCTCAGTGGTTCCACCGCCTGCCTCACAAGCGGAAGGGCCCGAGTTTGATCCCTGGTACCAAAAAAAAAAAAATTATAGTATGTTAACTTATACATTAAAATGTGAAAAAATATACACTTCAGAATAGGTAAAATAGTTACATTTTTAAAAATTGTGGTAAAATATGCACACCATGAAATTCACATGTAGCCACATTGAAGTGCAGCACAGTGACAGTAAGACCAATCGCACGGCCTGTCCCATGATGGCTGCCCTTCCCAGAGCTGTTTCATCTTCCACAACCCCAGCTCCCACTCCCACTCCTGCCCACCCCTGGTAGCCAGTCTTCTTCTTTTTTTTTTTTTGGTACTGGGGATCGAACTCAGGACCTTGTGCTTGGGAGGCAGGCGGTGGCACCACTGAGCTAAATCCCCAGCCGAGTACTCTTCTCAGCCTCATCTCCATGGATTTGCCTGTGCCAGGCTCCTCCTAAGGGCCACTATTTGAATGTCTATTTGAATGTCTGTTTTTATAGACATTCAAAGTATGTGATCGGCAAGATCCAATGACCGTGACCTGACACATGAAGTGGTGGGGATGACCCTGAGAAGGGGACTTTCTGGTTTAGCAGTTTTTGAGGCCATAGAAGAGAGTGAGGTGCTGGTGTGGAAGATAACAGGGGTTTGTATGTATTTAGGGTTTCATTTTTCAATTTTTAAATCTTATTCTTTTTTTTTTTTAAATCTTATTCTTTTGAATGTATTTTATGAAGCAGGTACAGGTAGTTTTATTTTTTCCATCCACTTGGCTTCAGTACTATTTACTGAGCAACTCATCTTTTCTCTACTGATTTTTAAAAAGATTCACTTAAGAATTTAAACTGCTCTTCACAAGACATATTGTCAGAGACAGTTTTCCCTGCGCTGCTTGTGACACTTTGTAAATTCAGAGGTAATGGAAAAGCTAGAAAGTAAACACAAAAATTTCATTGTCAGTAATCTAGGCTGCTCTTCTATGTAAAATAAGGTCTCCATTTTCCTCTCTAGGAGAAACAAAAGAATAAATGATTTCATTCAGCCTTTTAAACTTTATGCAAAATTTATTTGACTCTAATGGCACAGTAATGTCTCCTTCAGCAGTGCCACTTAAGAGTAATAATGGCAGTGCTGGGGATTTAGCTCAGTGGTTCTGCCGACTGCCTCACAAGCGCAAGGTCCCAAGTTCAAGCCCCGGTACCAAAAAAAAAAAAAGAGTAATAATGGCAGAAGTAAATGAAATTGGTGTGTGACTTGCTCCTTTGGGGTAGTACTTGAGAAGCCCAGCAGGAGCTTGAACTTGGCAGCTGGAGAAGGCAGAGGTGGGTTGGCAGTTAAGGAGCTCCCCGACCTGTGCTCTTTGCTTTTGTTTCAGGGTACTCTGTGACACTCTTTTGAGCTGCCCTTGTAGGCTTCAAGTACCCTTGAGGAGCAAGTACCCAGATGACTTTGATGAGAACCAGTAACAAAAACAAGATCACATTCAATACATCTATTGTTTTAAAACATGGGATGTGTTTTACACCTTTAGGATTCTTCAACCTCATAACATTTGTATAAAGAGTAAGGGGCAAATAAATAGTCTGATGCTATAGTTTTTTTTATTTTCTGCTTGAGAGACATGTTATTTCCCCTCCTCTCCTTTTAATCTTCCTGCTTCCTTGACACAACTGCTTCTGAACTCCATTCTCGTCTCTCCCTGCTGTGACAGTTCACTAGCACTTCACAATACCTACGACTCTTTCAACTTTTATTTTCCACCAACTGTCAGTTGGAAAATAAGGTTCCTTTGTTTGGGAGGGAAAGGATAGAATCCTTTCTGAATGTCTCCTTTTCCTTTGAAGTAGGAGCACTTCAGAGACAATTGAACTGCTTTTAGATTTTCCTTGCCACCAAGCCTTTTCTTCTGATAAATTCTGCCATGAACACACTGTTCTGTTGATGACATCGATTTGTTGCTATGGAAATAGTGGTAGTGTCACAGATTCAGCCCAGTGACTTTACTGCACATTCTTACAGGAGAAATGGGTAAGGCTTTAGGGGAAAACCTCATTAAAACTAAAAGCTATCAATTATAAGCAGGTGAAAGGTAAATGGAAGCAACCTTTTCCATCATGGAAACAAAAAGTGAACCCTTGGAAAACTCACTTCATGCAATCCAATCCCTCAGAAAATTCAGATCTACAAGAAATAAAAAATTTACATTTTTCCCAGAATATTTCTTCCACTTAAATTCAAATCTCTTAACTCAAATTATTTGCATTAAAACAGCCTTTCCCTTTTTTTCTTCAGGACAGGGGCAGCCACAAGCAGCCCCTTCTCCGGCCACAGCAGCCAGTCCATCAGTCAGCAAGCCTCAGCAGCAGAATGGGAGCTCAGGAGCTGGTAAGATAGCCACAGAAGGACATGTGTTGGCTGTGTGTGTCAGAAGTTGAATAATGTTTTAAATTTTATCTGGGCCTAAAGAGAGTTTTCATAATGCTATACATGACAAGAATTGTCTTACAAAGAATAATTCCAATCCTTATTGTATACTTTGTGATAAAAAAAAATGATCAGCTTTCATTGCATTGTATTGTGTTTTGTTCTTTTTGAGACAGGCTCTCCCTAGTTAGTTCAAGTTGGCCTTGAACTCCCTATGTAGACCAGGCTGACCTCAAACTCCAGCGATCTCCTGCCAGGGCCTCCCATACTGGGATTACACTGTGCACCACTACACCTGGTGATAGTCTTTTAAAGACACTGAATAATATACCCTTTTAAAATCAGAGTGATTGTGCTTTTCTCAGTTAATAGCTTATCTGGTACTGTGGTTTCTTACATCTTTGTGTTTTACACCCTCTGCCTCTCTGTGAATTTGCATACCTTTTAAATTCTCGCCTTTTAACTATCTAGGATCCACTTATTACATTTTGTCTCTCTCCAGTTTTCCCATTTTGGGTTCTCATGGGCATGTTTCATTTTCTGAAAGACAGAATCATTTATATTGGTCATAGATTCTGCTTCTCGGTCTCATGGATGAGAAATAATTTCTTTTAACTTTCTCTGGGACAGGCCCTGAGGGGCCCTGGTGGAATCATTTTGTCTACTTTTGGAACTTTGTTTTAGGAACCTCTTGATCTGGGAAGTTACCACCAAAAGCTCTAATTTGTACACTGTGGTTTGATTTATTTTTAGAGGTCTGTTTTTCTGTCACAACATTACATACGCCTCCTTCTCTCATCTCTTCAACTATTAGTTTCTATTTTTCAATGCAGAGTTCTAAGAAAAGCAGGTTAAGACGTCACTAATGTTTCTGTGAAACCTTCCAGACATACGACTTTTCCCCATTGGTCTTTGTTGTTTTTATCTAGTAATACCTGTGAATCTGCCCAGCAAGGTAGTGCACACCTATAATCCCCACATTTGGGAAACTGAGGCAGGAAGATCGTCTCGAGTTTGATGCCAGCCTGGACTACATAGTGAATTCAAGACCAGCCTGAACTACATAGCAAGACCTTGTCCCAAAAAAACAAACAAAAACCTTGAATTTTGCATCTATTTGTCTTCCTTTATGGTTGGATCTTCATATACACAGCTCTCAAATTATATACTATTGAAGGGGGTAGTGGAATAGATTATCAGAAATGCTGAGTAAACTAAAAGTCTCTTTCTTAGGGGCTGAAATACAAATAATACATTATTTATTCTTCCCTCTCCCTTCACAGATTTACCTTTCCATTTGTGCTTCACAGTGTACTGAAATTTTTTTTGGTACTGGGGATCGAACTTGGGACCTTGCACTTGCGAGGCAGGCGGCGGAACCACTGAGCTTAAATTCCTGGCCCCTGAGATTTTAATGATTAATGATCCCTAAACTGGGTTGTGAAAGAAAATGGACTAGATATGTAATGAGCAATGGCTACCTGGCACAGAAAAAAAAAAAAAATGGATGAAGGCTGGGCACAGGGATGCACACCTTTAATCCCAACACTCCGGGAGACCACAGCAAGGAGGATCATGTGTTCAAGGCCAGCCTGAGCTACACAGTGAAACCCTGTCTCAAAAAACATAAATCCTGCCTGGCAAGAGCAAGGCTCTGAGTTCGATTCCCAGTACCAAAAAAACCCCACATAAACACATTGGATGAATGGATGTCACGTGTGTGTTTAATAAAATTGTGTATTCTATTCTTACTATTACCCTACTTGGAGTAATGTAATACATGCAGTAGAAGCTCAGTAAATAAATGGTGGATTTATATTTTTAGTCAGGTTCTATTCTGAGGTAATGTTTTTGTATAGAGCATACAAAATCATAGAACTAAATTAGGTTTTCTGAATTGGAGGTTGAGCTTTATGGACCGTGTATGGATAAAAGAACTCTTTTGCTGATAGGCTCAATGCCCTGTTCTTTGACTGTGGAGGGCAGGTACATAGCCTTGGATAAAGGAGGCAGGGCGTCATGGTGGCCACCCTCCCTCCATGTCTTGACTAAAAACCGATTCCCACACCATGCTCTCAACTAAACATCATCTTACAGACTTTCCATCCTCTGGTGGTGTTTTCTTTGTTGTTGTTCTTGTTGTTTTTGAGACAAGGTCTCACCAGGCAGTTCAGGCTAGCCTTGAACTCACTAGCCCAGGCTAGCCTCAAACTCTCATCAATCCTCTTGCCTCAACCTCCCAAGTGCTTGGATTACAGGCATGTGCCACCACACCCGGCCCTGTGGCGGTGTTTTGAGATGATATTGGTGATAGTTGTCCTTCACTGCCAGTGTCCATCCTATAGGTCCATTATATCCTGGTCTTTGTTCTTTTTTTCCTTTGGTACTGGGGATCAAACCCAGCACCTTGTGTATGATAGTCGGGTAACGGATGAGACTGATGATTTGCCATCAGTTTTCTCCATCAAGAAAGTTGATTTTTTTACTCTGCCCAACAATGCAAGAGAAGTTTCAGAGAATGGACCTCAGAAAAAGAAGTGTGCGGATTGTTACCATCATTATCGTCCTCAGGGCTTAAGTCAGCAGATAGAATCGTGAGCTCCAGTGCGCCCAGACTTCCTTCTAGCTTGCTCTCCTAGACTCCTGCTTCAGTCTGTATCTGACTGCATATTTCTTGGAGACTGAAAAGGAAAAACTTTGCTTCTGATTTTGTATGATTTCACCAGTGGCACATCAGTAATAAGAATTATTGTAAAACTTATTATAAAAGTTAAGTAGAGGGCCGGGGATTTAGCTCAGTGGTTCCACCGCCTGCCTCAAAAGCGGAAGGACCAGAGTTTGATCCCCAGTACCAAAGAAAAAAAAAAAGTTAAGTAGAATAATGATTGTCCTTTTGTGTGTATGTGTTTGTAAAGGTTCCTCTGTACCCAAGGCTTATGGTGCCTCAAAGACGTTCGGAAAACCTGGAGGGACCGGCCTGTTACACCCTTCTGGGGGGACACAGTCCAAAGTGGTACCCATCGTCAGCCTCACTCCATACCAGTCCAAGTGAGTGGCTGCAGAGGACCAGGGCAGAATGTACCTAGAAAATGGTATAAGTAGTTATTGTGGGCTCTGTGTGGCTTATGCATGAATTGTGAGATCACCACCACATATGTGGGTTTCTTTCTTTTTTTCTGAGGTGGAGGAGGGTACAAATCGCAGCAGTCTTTTAACTCTCTTATCAAAAAGAATGACAAAACTAGTCTGCCATTAAGGAGTTTTATTATTTTCAAAGAATTTGAAATTAAGACTATTTACTGCTTAATGATTCAGTTACTAGGCTTGTGAATAAAAATAAATACTTGTGTTAATGCAGAAGGCACTTCATCCCATAAATAGGTGACTTTTGGTCTAAAAATTGTTACTGTGATTTACTTTGACTAAGATAATCTGTACTATTTGTATTAACTGCATTAATATATACCAAACATATATTTCTTGTATGACTTTTCCCATTAAAAATTAATTTAAGTGTTGAGAATTAGAGTTCTTTTTCAGAATTCTTTCAGATAGGTTTTTATTTATTCCTCCATACTTGGTAATATAGGGAAGACTTTATCCCCTGTGAAATTGCAAATATGGTAATGCATGTACCCAGTACCTCTGTTCAGGGTGGGCACCAGGCCTGAGTCTCTGACCTTAAGCTTCCATTTGCAGTGGCCTTGTGTCTAAGGTCACAGTGCTTCAATGTGTTTTTCTTTAGTGGCCCAGGAACTCCACATTCTGTAGCTTTGTGTTTATACTCAGTGTGCATTAGAAAGGAGACAAGACCAGGGAAATAGCTCAGTGGTGTTGCACCTGCCTGGTAAGCACAAGGTCCTGAGTTCGATTCCCAGTACCAAAAAAGGAAAGGAGGCAGGAATTTGATACCTGTATTAGCCAGCTTTCCATTGCTGTGACGACATACCTGAGGACAACAACTTAAAAGAGCAAAAAGTTTATTTTGGCTCACAGTCTCCAACACTTCCATCTTGTTCAGTGGCTCTGTTGATTTGGGCCTGAGGTGAGGCGGAACAGCAGCGTGGAGGGTGTGATTGAGCAAAGCTGCTCCTCTCATGGCAGCCTGGAAGCACGGACTGAGAGCCAAAGAGGAAGGGGCTGGGGACAAGGTACAGGCCCTAAGTTCACATCCCCATACCTCACTCCCTTCAAGTCAGTCCTGCCTCCTTAATTTCCATCACCTCCTAATAATGCCATCAAATCACGAATCCATCAGTGGTTAATTCACTGATGAAGTCGGAGCCCTCGTGAGCCGGTCACCATTCAGAAGCCCCACCTCTGAACATGTAGGCCTATTGGGGAAGTTTGCTCGTTTGTTTTATAGAGGCTTGAACACAGGACCATAGCACTAAACTACATCCCCGGGTCCTTTTATTTTTTACTTTAAGACACGCAGGTCTTGCTAAGTTGCCCAGGTTGGGCTTAAGTTGGCAATCTTCCTGCCTCAGCTTCCACAATGCTGGGATTACAGACATGCACCACTGCGCCCAGCTCTGGGAAATATTTTAGATCTAAACCGTAACACCACCAGTTATAGCAGTTCCCATAATTGAAAATAGTGACAAAATATAATTGCTGGTATTGCTGCATTTTTTAGCTTGGAACCTTTCATTAAAGAGATAGCGTTGCCTTGGTGATGGTTTTTTGAGAAGGAAGAGAGCTTATAAATTTACTTATTTGACAGGAGAATGAATTAGTGTTAAACCACCTTGTATGTTTTTTACTATTTGCTTACCCTGTAAATTGTCAAGCTTGTATGTCATCTTGGGGTTTTAATTAGCTAGATTAAAATACAGCTAACATTGACAAATGGAACATGCATAAGGTAAGAAAGGCCATAGAAAGATGATTTCTTACTTGATCTTTATTCCAAATAAGACACCAAACCCTAATGTAACCTGTTTGTTTTTTAGGTGGACTGTTTGTGCTCGTGTTACCAACAAAAGTCAGATCCGTACCTGGAGCAATTCTCGAGGGGAAGGGAAGCTTTTCTCTCTAGAACTAGTGGATGAAAGTGTGAGTACATGACGCATGGGAATTTGGAGTGAGGGACACTGTAAACTGGCCTGTGTGGTAGGCCAGAGAGAAACATGTGGTTGTCCTCGTGGTTTTCCCTTTGTTGTAGCTCTTCGACGCCCTCTGTGGTAGAGGGTTAAAAGTCATTTATAAAATCTTTGGTCTTAAAGGAAAGAATTTGTGGCAGAAATTAGAAACTAGTTTTCTGAGTGTATAAGGCGCTTCATGGGCAAGAGAAGCTGGAGACAATTTGCCTTGCCAGAGGCACCGCCCAGGCTGTGACATCTGCTGATAGCAGAGTGGAGCTTTGGGCCCCAGCCAGAGACAGGTGACGGCCACCTTCCAGTGAGTGGCTTGTGGGAAATGGGATCTGACCACACAGACTCCATATGCTTTATCTAAACCAAGCAAAACCCTGATGGTAGGAGAAAAAAATCTCCAAGCTGTGGAACTGTGATAGCTTTATCTGTTTGTTAGTTTAGTTTGTAATTCCTAAATGTACTTCAAGCATTCTTTTCAGATTGCGTCATGTTTCTTATTTGTTCAAATCCCCAAGATGGCAGGGAAAATTTTTTTTCCTTTCTTCTTTTTTTCCCCCCCGGAAGATGGTGTAACATCCCCACATGTTTGACTATCTGATAGCAGAATCTGTATCAGAATGAAGTTTTCTGCAAAGTGTTGGTCTAATCTGAAGTTGGCTGAGATTTCAATGATTTATTGAAGATTCTCATCCATCTGTAACAGTTTGACTGACAGAAAAGTAAAAGTGATAATCAAGTCACAAACAACTTGAAAACAGGACTTGTGATGCCATTCTTGGCAGTGGCTCCTGAATGTGGAATAATCTGTTGTTTAGGTTGCAGGCGTGAGGGAAACCAGTGAATCACCCTGGTTCAGCATGCTTCCCCGTGGGCTGCAGTCGTGTCGCTCAGTGTCTAAAAAATTGAGGTTTATAAAGCTCAGTTATGGGATCAGCTAGTTGAACTTCATGTTTCACCTGAGCTGATAGCTTGAATGTGTGACTATAAGATGTGGCTTCCTGTGATGCTGCAGCCCTTTCGTGGGTCACCTTTGTGCTTGTTCTGCTGCTCCAAAGATGTCATCTTGATGTTAAAGTGGCCTGCTTTTCACTGGTCAAATTGTTTTTTTGTTTGAGGAGGGTGGTTCTTTCTTTCCTTCTTTCTTTCTGTCTTTCTTTCTTTCTTTTTGTTTGGTCACTTTTTAAAATAATTTTTTATGAAAAAATAAAATAAGATAACAATAGTTGATAGTCTGTATCATTATCTTCAGAGTAGTTACTTAAGAGTATAGGACATAGACAAAAAAGTTTCTCTTAACAAAGAAACAGATAATAGCACAGAACTTTCTTTTTAATGAGCTAAGAGGAACTAGTAGTATAAGTGAAACAAATTAGCATATATATTAAAATATTTTTGAAACAGTGGAATAGGTAATTTGGGGAGTGTTTTTGTTTGTTGGTTTAGTTTAGTTTGGTTTTTTGAGATAGGCTCTTGCTATGTAGTTTCACGCTGGCCTTGAACTCATGTAGCCCAGGCTGACCTCAAACTCACAACAATTGTCATGCCTCAGCCTCCCAATTGCTGAGATTATAGACATACACCACCATGCCAAGCCTATTTGGGGGATTTGAACAGCTCCCTCCTTGAACTGGCTTCGAACATCATAATGCTAACCTGTTTTCACTTACTTCTGCAGGGTGAAATCAGAGCTACTGCTTTCAATGAGCAAGTGGACAAGTTCTTCCCCCTCATTGAAGTGAACAAGGTACAGTAATACCAATTTAGAATGGGCACAGTAAAGTTGGATGGTAGAACAAGGACGAGGAGACTCCTGTCCATTGGAGGATCGTGTCTGATTTGTTGGGCTCTCTTGCAGTGGGTGGCTTGGCTTTTTTTGCAGGTGTATTATTTCTCAAAAGGCACCCTGAAGATTGCTAACAAACAGTTCACAGCTGTTAAAAACGACTATGAGATGACCTTCAATAATGAGACTTCTGTCGTGCCCTGTGAAGATGATCATCATTTACCTACAGTTCAGTTTGATTTCACAGGAATAGGTGATCTGGAGAACAAGTCTAAAGATTCACTTATTGGTAAGTCCAGATTTGAGGACAAAGAGTGGTGATGATTTTCAGTGTATGGCGGGTGCAAAACTTAGATGCTTGCTTACCATCAGCCTTTGGTGATGTTACGGGAGGAGACTTGACCTCTTCTGCTAAGACCTTGTGTCTGTTTTTTAGACATAATTGGGATCTGCAAGAGCTATGAAGATGCCACTAAAATCACAGTGAAGTCTAGCAACAGAGAAGTTGCTAAGAGAAATATCTATTTGATGGACATGTCAGGGAAAGTGGTGACTGCTACCCTGTGGGGAGAAGATGTAAGTACTTGCAGTGAACAAAAAGAGCTCTGTGGGTAGGTTGTCTTGTCCTGTGGGGCTTCAGCTGCGTAGGTGGTAAAGGGTTGTGCTACCTAGTGATCTTTTTTTTTCTTAGTGATCATTTGAAGTCCTTTCTTTTACTTCAGTGAGGTATGCTGTGATTTCAGCTTTCTGTAGTGAAGTTCCCTTTCCTCTAACTCTAAGAAAGTACTAATAGATTAGTTTTGATGTATTTCTCAAGATTCTTATTGTGAGGTCTGTCTGTATAGGTTCTACATACGTTGATTATATTCACTCCACTATTGACTGTTTCGCTTGTTTTCTCTCAAAATATTCTGTGTGTTCCTGCCAGTGACACTTATGTGTTTGGTGTTTGTTTTGCAGGCTGACAAATTTGATGGTTCTAGACAGCCTGTGATGGCCATAAAAGGAGCCAGAGTTTCTGATTTTGGTGGACGGACCCTTTCTGTACTGTCTTCAAGCACTATTATCATGAATCCTGACATCCCTGAGGCCTATAAGCTTCGTGGATGGTAGGTTTTGTGGAGCTAAACCAAGGGGTTATTTGACCCCAGGCTTTGAGTATAGGAGCACTCTACCAAGAAAAAGGCCTTGTGACTGAATGGAGCAGTCTCTGTATTTCTTGGAGGCATATGCCTTCTGAGAGAATGGCTTTAAAGCCCTGAAACTGACAAACTCTAATCCCATGACAAACCTGGCAAGTTGGAAGAAGGCAATTAGAATGTAAGGGCTGCATGCTGACCTCAATCCTGACAAAATAGGGAAGGCCAGGCTTTAGCAGTGTGTGCTGAAGGATTGTATGCTTAGGGTATCTTTTGCTCCCAGGCTTGAGTAGTAAAGGGGACAGTGTGCTTGTTTACTCCCTGGAGTCTCTGGTGCTGGACACATCTTCTAGTGAATATTACTGGACTTTGATAAAACAGTGGGCTTTTGGTTAGCATTATATTGTTATTCCCAAAGCACTCAAGGGATGAGGAGAGCCTATTAAAAATCTCACTCTATCTAGCTTTTAAGACATTAAAGCTCTGGAGCACTTCAGCCTGAAGCACGATAGGGCAGAATTGATGTGGTTAGGGAAAACACGTTAGCCAAAGCTTAATAATTTGTATAGCTATAATCACAGGATTGGGGGGCATGTGTCAGTTTCTAACTATGTCTTAGGATTTAAGTGACTCAAGGATTAGCCTGTATTTCGTTCTCCTAGGAGTTTTTGAGTCTAACATGAACCAATAGCACCATTATTTCACAAAACATCTGCTGGATTTTCCCATGATTTAAGCCATCCTCATGAGTATGACCCACCTGTATCTATTTAACCATTCTGGTAGCTTGCACCGCATTATAAGGTAGGGCCTGTTAATAGTCTGAACCACAAATAACCATGGTTTTGGTTAGCTCTTCTTGCTTGATATACTTTCACACTCTGGGGCATGACCCCAGGTTAATTGTGTGTCCACTTTGAGGTATTCATATTTTACTTGTCAATATTTGTGATCCCAGGCTATATAAAAAGACATGGCTGTGCCCCGAACGAAATAACTTGACATTGATCAAAGAGGAGTTCAGTGTAGCACACACTCCACCTAGGATTACAGAGTCTAGATCTTGGCTGTAACAGATGGGAATTTTTATTGTAAGAAGGGCTGCCTCTCTCCTTGCTCTCTTGACTCCTGATGAGCTGTCTTTGATGGCAAATGTCTCCTTGGAGTTTTTGAAACTATAAACTTGTTTTTGTTGTTGTTGTTTTAATTTCACTATTTTATTTTTTGCGTACATATTTGATTAAAAATCAGTGAATTCCTAAGCCCAGTTCAAGTAACTGGAGAGCCTTTATAAGTAGTTTATATCTTCTAGACCAGTGATGGCAGAGCTTTTAGAGCTTTCAGTGATAACAAACAGCTGACTGTGCCATGGGTTCACCACCACTGGTCTGGACCCAGAGTATGCTGCAAACACAGTCTGAAGTAAAAGGCCCAATAACATTTATCTAAAGACATGTTTAGAAATTCTAATCCAGTACATTAAGATGTTCCCTTTCTCTGGTAGCAGGGTTGACTCATACCTGGCTGCTAGGCCACTGTTCCAAGGTATGGCCAAGAAAACAGTGTACAGACCACCAAAAACTAAATCAACTAGTCCAGCCTGTGTCATGGTACAGGCTTTATAATTCAAATCTCCTGTGCCCAGAGGTAAACTTACAAAACTTGTGTAAGAGGCACTTCCTGACAAAAATGGTCACCGCCATAGGTAAACCAGCAGCTGTACCAGCCTGTCATGTGCCAGGAGCACCGGAAAAGATTGTTTGCTATTAGGCCACATGTTGATCCCTGTTCAAGTAGACTCCTGTGTTTCTGGAAGCTGGTTAAATTTTCTGGTTGTGATACCATTATCAGTTACATTTTCCTTGATAGTATCATCTGGTTTATGATTTCCCATCTTGAGCTACATGCCTGCCCCCCAAGTTCAGTGCTGCCTGCATTCTTTCTCTGCCATGCCCGGGCTGCCTGCAGCCTTTGCTCCTCTCACCCTGGCACAGCCATTTCTGCCTTACACGTGGCTCGGCCACAGATGCCCCAAAACCATAAACCTGTGTGGCTAGTGGTGAAACCAATTTATGGGCCTTACTGTGCTGTATTTAGCTGCTTGCCTGACAGAATGACAAGGTAATTGTCTGCAGCTTTGGGCAGAATACATTCTGTTGGAAGGCTCTTTTTAGGGGACTAATTCTTACTTACCCACCTTCTGGATTGTGTTTGTTTTGTTTTGTTTTGGTACCAGGGATCAAACTGGGGACCTTGTGCTTGCGAGGCAGGGGGCAGGTGGCAGAACCACTGAGCTAAATCCCCGGCCCTCGTGTTTGGTGTTTTTAATCTCAGCCTGACTGCTATCTGCCACAGGTATGGTCCTGTGTCACCTTCTGGCTTGCTTTACTTCATATCAACTGATAGATGACCAAGATGTATAATCATTTTTAATAATAATTCAATACAAATTAATTTAACTTTAATATTGGCATAAGTAACATCTCACTAAGCCAGGAGTAGTAGCACCCATCTTTAATCTCACCACTCTGGGAGGCGGAGGCAGAGGATCAAAAGTTCAAGCCCAGCCTGTGTAACTTGGTCATTTAGTGAGACCCTATCTCAAAATTTTTAAAAAGCCCCATCTTCAAACTCCTGTATCGCTAAGTAAATAAATGGTAAATCTACAAGAAAGCAAATAGTATTTTCTGAGAGATTACATGGGTTACATAATCATTTAGAGTAGATGATTGGGCTTAAAAGGTTTTCTGCCATGGAAACATCTTTGCCTAATCTGTTACAATATGTTAACTGTTCCTTTCCATTCCAATACATTTAAGTGATGATAAAAATGCAGCTGTTACTGAGGTGAGCATTAGCTGCCCAGAGGACTGTACCAGGGCTCCACAGTGGTCCTGGCCACTTCTGATGTCCATGGCCAGTTTAGGACAAGGGTCCTTGGTACTTTGGCACTGTTTGTCTTGACCACTGGGGGGCATCACAACAAATGAGAAGACATTTGTTCTTTAGCAGACTTAACTTCAGTACAGTGAAGATACATTACTAACTTCACCTGCAGGATGTGACTGATATGAAAGCGGGGGACAGGGAGCTTGTATCTAGTCTATAGAAACAAGTAGCGCATGCAGGAAGTACATAAAGTGCCTGTTATTTGTTTTTCAGGTTTGATGCAGAAGGACAAGCCTTAGATGGTGTTTCCATCTCTGATCTAAAGAGTGGGGGGCTAGGAGCAAGCAACACCAACTGGAAAACTTTATACGAGGTGAAATCAGAGAACCTGGGCCAAGGTGACAAGGTATCTTATGTGCCTCCGTCCTTTACAAAAGCATAGAGTGCTTGCAAAGGGAGGATGAGTTTGAAATCTGGTTTCTGATACCAGCTGTCAGATGTTAATTCAGAGCTGTGATTCTTACCTGAGGCTCTGCCCAAAGCATGGTGCCTTGGCTGAGTCACTGGCCGGGCTTCCCAGTGGGAACAGTGGGAACTCTGATATGTTAAGGTAGAAAGATGTGAAGAACTATCAGAAGGAACTTGAAGAAGGAGTAATGACCAAGCTCTTAGGATAGTATGAACTGATTTCAGGCCCATATTTCTGTCTGCTTGTTCCTGCAAATTGAAGTGTTTGTATATCACAAAGACATTTTTTTTGGTACCGGGGATCGAACTCGGATCCTTGCGCTTGCAAGGCAGGTGTCGGAACCGCTGAGCTAAATCCTCAACCCACAGAGACGTTTTTTGAGCGGAGCAGATTAGTCAGGCTCAGCATCGGGCAATAGGTGATTGCCAGGTACTTTCACCTCCTAGGCCAGACTTGCCACTGTGCCCTACAAGGATTGGCTCTGGTGTTGGACCTCAGTTGGAGCTTCCCTTCCAGTATTTGTTTAGTGACCCTCTCCCCATCTTGATCTAACCTGTGTTGTCAGCAGTTCAGTATTTAAAGTGTTTATTTCTCTTTTATACTCCCCCAAATAACAATCCCTGTTCCTTTGTCATCATATACAATGTATATTTTATTCCTGTCTCATTTTCCTGTACACCCCTGTTCATCACTGTCATCAATAGCAACTTATAATGCTATTATTATATAACACCCAGAGAGTTCAACATTGGACAGATCTATGTTGTTCTGTCATAGGGCCAGCCACTATTCCAGTTTTCTTGCACCGATTTAAAAGGTAGACAGTGTGTAATAAGAAATGAGGCATTCAACCCAGTGTGGTGGCACACACCTATAATCCCAGCACTCTGGGAGGTTGAGGCAGAAGGATCGTAAACAGGGTCTTGCTAAGTCACTAAATTGCCCTGGCTGGGCTCATACTTGCAGTCCTTCTGCCTCAGCTTCAGAGTGCTAGGATTATGGGCATATGCTACCACACTGGCCCCTTCTTTCCTCCCTTTGTCTCTTATCTCTTTCCCTTTCTTTTTCCTCTCAGTCTGTCTCTGTCTCTCTCTTTCTCTTGTGCACATGTGTGTGTTACAGGGGATTGAACCCAGGGCCTCATACATGTTAGGCAAGTATTCTACCACTAAACTGCGTTACCAGGTCATTTTATATTTTGAAGCAGAGTCTTGCTCATTTGCCCACCTGGCCCTCTAAATTTGTGATTTCTTGACCTCAAAAGTAGCTGGGATTACAGGAGTGCATCTTAGTGCTCACCTTACTCTGCCACCGAGCTATATCCTCTGTCCGGCTTTCTTTTTTTCTTTTTTTTTTTTTATTGTTTCTTTTTGGGGTTTTGAGACAAGGCCTCGGTATGTTCGGCAGGACCTGAACTCGCTATGTAGCTCAGTCTGGCTTCAAACTCACAGCCTCCCATAGGTATGTGCCACCATCCCAACAAATTTTTTTATTTTAAAAAAATGGGGTTGCTTTTTTGGTTTAGTTTTGTTTGGTTTGGTTTGATTGGTTGGTTGTTTTGTTTTGTTTTGTGAGATAGGGACTTGCTATGTAGTCCAAATTGGCCTTGAACTCACTGTGTAGCCCGGGCTGGCCTCAAACTCTTGGCAGTCCTCCCACCTCAGTCCTCCTGAGTGCTGGAATTTCAGTCTCGCGGCACCACACCCAGCTTAAAATGTTTTTTGTGTGTTGAGGATTGCATGCAGAACCTGTGCATGCTAGGCAAGTGTTCTTTCATTGAGCTACGCCCCCAATCCTGGAGCCTTCTAAGCTAGTTACTTGTCCAAACTCTTTAAACATCCACGTTGTTTTACCTCTTTTGGTCTGAGACATCAGGAAGCCCCAGCAGTTGGTGACCTAGCTCTGAATTTGGGCTGCACCCAGAGGGAACTGCTCCCTGGCAGTACTAAACACAAACCAAAAATAATTCATCTGAGAACCTCTCCATGGGGCTTAAAAGTAAAAACCGATATCAACCACACATACACACACCCAAAAACGTCCCAAAATGTGCCTTAGTCCTTCCTAGATTTACTTCTCTAACTTCTCTACTAAGGCGCAAATCTTATTTAGATGTTGTTTAGATATTTTTGCATTCTGCTAAATTTGATGACTCAGACCCGTGTTGGTAAACAAGGTCATAGACCATATCTACCTTGCCGCCCACTCATTGTAAATAAAGTTTTATTGGGACACAGACAACATGCTTCCATCAGCATGTTGTCTGTGGGCACTCTTACCAGGAAGATTTAGTAATTGCAACAGAGAGTGTATAATCAAATGGCCCATGAAGCCTAAAATATTTATTGTGTAACTATTTACAGGAAGAGCCTGCTGGCCCCTGACCTAGACAAACAGAGGATCTAGGCCCTAGAAATCACTATTCTTGGTTTTATTTAATATGAGAGGAATGGTTGATCATAGCTACACTAGATTTTTGCGGTCTGCATTAGTTTGCATCTCCTAAATTTGTGGTCTTTGGAGGATCAGATAACCAGGAGGAGCAAGTCTTTTTCATATAGTCTTCAGCCAAAGAGGAAAACAATTTGTTTTAATTAATTAAATTCTAATTTAGAAATAACTTACTGATAAGGAATTATATGCTTTAGAACTTGGTTTATCGCCTTGGTGGCTTTTGTACACAGCACGTGATTTCTGAAACTATGGAATGAATGATTTCCTGTAGTCCCACTGTGAGCTTGAAAATTAGAATGCATGTACTGTACTTATCACTTGTAAGTAAGGACATGCTTCGAGCTTCCTGAGTCCAGTCCTGAATATAGTTGTGGTACTCTGTCTCAAGTCATTCTTTTCTTCTGAAGGCAGACTATTTCAGCTCTGTGGCAACAGTGGTGTATCTTCGCAAAGAGAACTGTATGTACCAGGCCTGCCCAACTCAAGATTGCAATAAAAAAGTGATTGACCAGCAGAATGGATTATACCGCTGTGAAAAGTGTGACCGTGAATTTCCCAATTTCAAATACCGCATGATCTTGTCAGTAAGTAGAATGGGAACATGAGAACTGCCACAGAGCTTACTGAATCCCTGCCGTGTGCCGGGCACTATGGTTGTAACAGCAGACCCAACATAGTTTATGATAGGAAGTTTGCAGATGAGTAGGTGCTGAAGAGCTTATTACTGTTCTATAAATAAGGAAGTAAGGGCCTTTCAGGCAACTGAATAACAGTCTGTTTTCTGCTACTAAAAGCTTTTTTTAATGCCAGAAAGTTGAATTGAGTTGCCCCAGATGATTTCAGTCTTCTGTGCTTGTCGTACAATTACAGTATTGGTGGCACTCACCCGCTAACTGTTACGAAGATAAATTAATTTGAAATGGCAATTCTGGAGAGCAGTAATTGTGCATATATAGCCAGTGCCTATATTTAGTTTTCTTGTGGATGATCTGTTCTTCTAGTCTTAGTAGAGCTGACTTCAGAGGAATGTGACTGTACTGATGTGGGATTGTTGCCTTTTTTGCATTGTAAAGATTGCTTTCTTTTTCAGAAACCTTTAAAATGAAAGGTATAAAGTAAATGATAAAAGTATAAAAAAAAGGCACACTCACATTTTTCTAGGTGATTTGGCAGCAATATATCAGAAGCCTTAAAAATGTTTTTTATTTCCTGATATAGTAAACACATGGCGGGAATTTATTCTAAGGAAATAATCAGAGATGTTACACCTACAGAAAGTTGTTAACACTGTTGTTTATTTTGAAAAGTTAGATATAACTTGAATGTCCTTAATATTCTATTGGTTAATTTCTTTATTGAAGAAATTAGAGTAGGGTGCTGTGGAGACCTTTGAAGCAGTCATTCATTATTTGGCAGTTTTGATAGTTAACGTGTTTGCAAACCACTGCTAATGAGGATTATTAAATAATCTAAATAAATAGTCAAGCTTTATTAGTTGAAAATAGCAAATTTTAAATGGTGTGTTTTATATGGTCTTGAGGTATGCAGACAGAAGACACACTGGGAGGACAAATACCACAAGATTGTTGATAGTAGTTATTTCTGGGTGATTTTTATTTTCTTCATTATATCCTCCTACATTATCCATTTTTGTGTGTATGTACCATGAATACTCATAATAAATTTTAAAGAAATCTTTTTAGATTAAAAAAAAGAGAAAGAATTCCACCTATCCTTTCTGCATTCTAATTGCCCCTTAAAGTTGTGACTCAGCAGGGAAGTTCTACATTTTTCATAAACTTTTCATTGAACTAAGATGAAGGAAATTGTTTTAGATAGTTAATTTCAACCACCTTTCTATTAAACTGCTAAGTTGTGGATTCCCCGACACACTTGTTTCATTTGACATTTTTCATGTGTCTGCATCATTACTGTTCTCGCCTACAGAGCGTGAGGCCCGGTGCCTCCTATGAGGACAACACAGAGCACAGTAGGTGTGAGCACCAGTATGTGATGCCATCGTCACCTCATTTTTCATCATCACATTTTATATGTAAAATCCCCATGTATATGAAAAATGAATATATAAAATCATCAAAGTGATACCTGTAAAAAATTTTACTATGATTTCTACAGAGCCTTACTCCAGCAGCTAGATTCTTTGAGATCCACTTGTTTCTTTGACCCTCCCCAAATTAATTTTATACCATATATCCTGTTGGAGATACTTGATTACTCCTTTCTGTTGCTTGGTAGGTTTGGTGGCTGAAGGGCCTTGGCACTGGCTCTGAAATTGCCTGTGCTGTTCAGTGGTGACTTAGATCCATTTCATGCAGCTTCTCCTGTTGACTGGAAAATATATACACCAGTTTAAAATATAGAGTACCTATCCTGCCCATGGAGGCTTATACTAAACCTTTAGTCCGAAGTCCTTTGCATCTGGGGAGGGGACTGGGTCTGATGTACCTAGATTCTGTTTTGTTTTGGTTTTTTTGGTATCGGGGATCAAACTCGGGACCTTGCACTTACGAGACAGGCGGCAGAACCACTGAGCTAAATCCCCAGCCCTATGTACCTAGATTCTGTATCTGCAGGAGTTTAGGCTCTGTCTTTGAGATCTGAAATCACATATCAAGACATATCCAGAGAACACTTGAAACTTCTATTATATATTCCACAGTTTTTACAAAGACTATAGTACAGGTGTTCCTCAACAATGAGGTTACATCCCAGTAAAAGTTGAAAATATAGTTAAGCCAAAAATTGATTTAACGAACCTACCGAACATCATAGCTTAGCCCCTCCTACCTTAAATGTGCTCAGAACACTTACATTAGCCTACAGTTGAGCAAAATCATCTAACACAAAGCTTATATTATAGCATTATTGAATATATTGTAATTTATAAAATATGGTATTGAAAGTGAAAACAGGATGGTTGAATAGATATGCTTTTGCATATAAAGTAAAAAACCATTGAGTCAAACCATCATAAATTGAGGACTGTGTATTTATGTAATGGTAATATTTTTCCCCTTGGAAATTTTAATGTATGCGGAAAGTTAACCTGCCATCCCCCTTAGTCTGTCTTCCTTTTATTCTTTCTTTGCTGAAATAATAGAGAGTTGTGTTTTTTAGGCAAATATTGCAGATTTTCAAGAGAATCAGTGGGTGACTTGTTTCCAGGAATCTGCTGAAGCTATCCTTGGACAAAACACTGCTTATCTTGGGGAACTGAAAGAGAAGGTTGGCCACATCATTTATTATAGCTGTAATAGTTCTCGTGCCATAACACTGAGCCTTTTTTGCTGTTTAATATTTTTTGGTGTGCTTCTTTGGGGTGTTGTATCTTGTTTCTCAGTCTGATGATTATTTGAGAGCTCACCTGATTTTTTTTGTCTAATTTTGTCCATTTTAGATCCACTTGACTATGAGGTAATGACACAAGGTGTATTAAAAAAAATCTTTTAAAATAATGCATGTTACAGGTGTAAACCAAACCACTTGTTTGTGCCATTACTGTTACGTCATCAGAGCTGGGGTACCTGCTGTCACTCAAAACTAGAAGGCACCTTCTGAACTAACCCAAGGCTTACATGTGCCTTTTTTAACATAATAAATACCTTCCCCCAAAATTGGATCATATCCTGGTTTAAATTCACATTAAGTGAATTTAAATTTCTAGTCATCGGATGCAGCTCTTCAGAAGTGACTTTCTTTTATAAGATAACTTTACCCATTCATTTCATTTTTATAAACTTGCATTTTACTTACTAGGTTTATTCAATACTGAAAATAGATTACTAATTATGCTGAACTTAGGAAAGATAGTTCCTCAAATAAAATATATAAAAATCAGTGAAAGCATATATGCATACATATATATACAATTTTGTATATATATGTGTGTATATATTTATGTATGTGTGTGTGTGTATATATATCCTCCAAATTGCTTAGCGTACTTAACAAAAGCCACAGAACAGAAAAGAAACAACTGCCATGTGCTTTGGTATGTTTTTTTGGTTCTTTCTGTCCTCAGTTCTGTTTGGTTCTACTGCTGCCTCTTTTTAAAATTGTCCATGAGATCTCTGAAAATAGTCCGAAGAAGTCCTTTTACAGAAATAACTAGAACTGACTTTTAAAGTGTGATAGTATCTTTTATCTGTTTTGCCTGGTCCTCTATTTTCATATCAGATTTTGAGGCTCTAGGTAGCCTTTCAGGATTTTTTATGAGCTTATTGCATTTGACTTTTTACTGCTGGTGAATGAGGACATATAGAACCCCTTCCCTCGGGAACCATGATGTTCTTGGAGTATGTGTCCAGGCTTTCTCTAATCTGGAACAACAATGACAGCTGGTGTGATTTTCTAAATTATTTACATATTGAAAGTCCAGTGGGGCCAGGGATTTAGCTCAGTTGTTCCGTCGCCTCCCTCCCAACCGCCAGGTCCTGAGTTCAATCCTTGGTACCAAAAAAGAAAAAGTCCAGTGAACAGTTTTTTTTTGTCAACACAAAAAAGAGGTCTATGTGATAAAACCATTTTCATGTTCTATGTGGCTTATATGAACTATTTTATGTAAAGTTATTATTAGTTTATTTTATGCATTTTTATGTAAAATGTATTCTCAAATCCCTCTCTAAACTTTTTTTTTTTTTAACGGTACTGGATTGAACCTAGGGCTTTCACACTGAGCTACATCACCAGGACTACCACCCACTCCTTTTTTTTTTTTTTCCTAATTTTGAAACAGGGTCTTACTAAGTTGCTTAGACTGGGCTTGAATTTGTGATCCTCCTGCCTCAGCCTCTCAAGTACCTTATGGTGTAGGCATATGCTACTGAAACCAAATAAGCGTTTTTCTTTTTAATTTACATAAAGACTTAAATAACGTTGGAGAGTGTGAGAAGGAGGGAGAGGACGGTGTCCTTAGACCACCCTTGACCTCTGCCCACTTTACCTGTCTTCTCCACTGGCTCACCACACCAGTAGCTGTAAACATAGATAGGCTGAAACAATGGAATATATAACAACTTGCAGTCTTTTCTGAGTATTTTCCTACCCAATTTTTTTTGGGGGGGGGGGGGATACCAGGGATTGAACTCGGGTCCTTGGGCTTGCGAGGCATGTGGTGGAACCACTGAGCTAAATCCCCAGCCCTTCCCACCCAATTTTTAATTCATCAAGGTGCTAGGCCTCAGATCTTTCCATTACAATTGAAGTCTTAGAAATGTGTTTGTTGGGCTGGGGATTTAGCTCAGTGGTTTCATTGGTTGCCTCACAAGCACAAGGACCTAAGTTCGATCCCCGGTACCAAAAAAAAAAAGAAAGAAAGAAAAAAGAAATGTGTTTGTTAAGAGTGATTTTTTTCTGCCTTGAAAGCTCAAAGACCCGAGTTTGATCCCCGGTCCCCGGTACTTAAAAAAAAGAGTGATTTTTTTCCGGTGCCTGCCGCGCAAAGCACAAGGTCCCGAGTTTGATCCCCTGTACCAAAAAAAAAAGGTGATTTTTTTTTTTTTTTGCATGTATTAAACATAAAATTTATAAATGTAACCTTTTTTTTTTTTCTATTTTGTACTGGAGATTTGTACTCAGAGCCTACACACTGAGCTATACCTCCAACTCTTATATTTTTTATTTTGAGATAGGATTCACTAAGATGCCTGGGCAGGGGCTCAAACTTGTGATCCTCCTGCCTCAGCCTTCCAGAATGCTGTGATTATAGGCATGCACAGGCATGTGATACCACACCCAGTTCTTTGTAACCATTTTGAAGCATACAATTAAGTAGCATTAATTACACTCACGTTGTGCAGTTTTTTTCCAAGATCCATGTCCAGAACTTTTCCATCTTCCCAAACTGAAACTCTGTATTAAATAAACAGCTCCCCTTTCCAGCCCCTGGCAACCACCATTCTGCTTCTGTGAATTTGATTACTGTCAAACAACAGTGAATTTAACATATTTTGGGGGGGGAAATTGTGTCTGTGCTGAACATGTACCAGTTTTTTTCTAGACAGCATTGCCTAACAGTACAGTATAGCAACCACTTTCATACAGTTTACATTGTATTAGGTGTGAGAGTAATCTAGAGGTGATTTAGGGTATATGGGAAGAAACGCACACTTGTGGGCAAATACTGTACCACTTTCCAGAAGGAACTTGAGCATCTTTAGATTCTGGTGTCCTCTTGGGGTAGGGGGAGTCCTAGATCCAAGCTCCTGTGGATACTGAGGGAGAACTTCCGAGTGTTTTAATTTTTAGTACAGTTCTACTTAAACAGTATTATGTGATGAACATCACCTGTAAATTAGTCTTTCCTAAGTAATGTCAAGCCATATTTTCTCAATATCTTTTCAAAAGTCTCACAGGTATTTTTAAGTAGCCCAGTAGTTTCCATGTGTGAAGTTTTATATTTGTTTTTATAGAACGAGCAGGCATTTGAAGAAGTTTTCCAGAATGCCAACTTTCGATCTTTCATGTTCAAAATCAGGGTCAAACTGGAGACCTACAATGTGAGTAAAGGGCCTGGGAACAGAAGGGTTGGTGGTGGAAAGTCATGGTTTGTCCCCCACAGCAGCATTCCAGTGTCAATGTCGGGGAGTCGCCTGCTGAATGTCGGGCCCAGTGCTCAGCACCTTGTGCTCAGTACTCACAGAATCTTTCCTGCACTGAAGTATAATTACTCCGTTTTCAGATGACTCAGTGTTTTGTCTGAACATCTCAGGCAGGAATACTCTGTGGCCTTTTCTGTTAAAACCTGTTTTTTTGTCTGTATTCTGACAAAGATAATAGTGTATAGTGTACTCACATCTCCCATAAATTTAGGTTCTAAAAAAATCAGTGTATGAAAATATTATTATTATTATATTATTAAAATTACCTTGAAAATTCCTTAAATTGTCCATAATATCATAAGCTGTGTGGCATAATAAGGCACTTACTGAGCACTGTCGTGTACTGTCCTACATCCTTTACGTGTATTACGTCACTTAATCCCTACACTACCTTCAGGCTTAGAACTGTTGTTACCCCCATTTACCAGTGAAGATGTAAGCATTGAGGGAATGGGTTTCTAGCCAGAAGTCAAATGCTGCCAAGTGCAAGGTTAAGATTCTGATCCTGGCAGTCCAACTTTTAAGCTTTCCTCGTAACCATACTCATAAACTTCAGGGTCTGTAGTAATTACTGAGCATGCAGAAGTGTGAGAGCCCCTGGCCAGACCGTGTGGCCTCTGGGTATCACCCCATTCTGCCTCTAAAGGTTAGGTTTCGCCCTCGGAGCTAAATACACAAGGAGTGGGGAGAATTTTGCCAATACCCTTGCCAGCTGGAAGGTTTACTCATTTTGGATTATTATCAGACCCTAACCTTAGTACTTGTTGATAGATGTGTTTGTTATTATAAGCATCAAATGCCCTGTAACCCTAGCACTCTGGGAGACTGAGGCAGGAGGATTGAAAGTTTAAGCCTAGTCTAAGCAACTTAGCAAGACCCTGACTCAAAATTTTAAAAAGGGGCTGAGGGTGTAGCTTGGTGTGAAGGTCCTGGGTTCAATGCCCAGCACCTCAAAAAAAAAAAAAAAGCATTAAATGAGACAAGGGATCAAATGTCAGTATGATATAATGTCACTGAGTAGGGTGAGATAAGGAGGGTCATTTAATCCCCTCCTGGTACAGACAGGGAGGAAGGTGAAACACAGAGGGGTCGCCCTGCCCAGAGCTGACACGGGACCCAGACAGGTCCTCCTCCTCTGCTGCAGGTGCTTTTTCCTTGACAGCAGCTTGGCTGCTCCTGAGATGAAACTCAGCTTTCCAAATTAGCCCTGTGGCTTTGGGCTAGTCACCTATCCTCTCTGGACTCCTGCTTTCCCCCTGTGAAGAGAGTAAAGAGGAGAGATGCCCCAGAGTCCATTCCGTCAGGCCTCCTGGTCTCTGAGGCTTGGGAACCTGAGGACAGGAGGAAAGAGCCTGTGCTTGGGGCATCTGGCCGCTGTCCCAGCCCTGGAAGTTCTGGGCTAGGCTCTCGCTCCCCATGTTTTCTTTGTGGAAATTACTGAACTCTGATCTAGTGTGTCTGTTCACTCCTGCTGGGCTCCTTGAACCCACAGAAGCAAAGATGGTTATTGCCACTGCTCCATGCCGGGGCTTCCGTCACTCACAAACCACTTTTCTCTTCAAAGGATGAGTCGCGAATTAAGGCCACGGTGATGGACGTGAAGCCTGTGGACTATAGAGACTACGGCAGAAGGCTGATCATGAACATCAGAAGAAATGCAGTGATGTGAGGAGAGTAGCACTGATTGGGCAGAAGTTTGAAATGGAGCTGAAGTGGAGCCGATTTCTTCCTACCCCATGCGACAGTCCCACCTCTGCCCCTGTTGCAGAGCCTCGGGGTGGGCTGGCAGTTTCCCCTCTGCGATCTGTGGTGTAAACCATCAGATCTGGAAATCCACAGCAGGTAGCAGGGCCCCAGTCCCTCCCTCTGTTTTCAGGCTTCTGTCAATTTTAGTAAGGTTTCATTATCATCAAGCAGAAATTATGTCACAAGTAATTGACCCTAACTCTGCAAACAGTGAAATAAACTGTCACTCGGGCTTTGCTTCTCCAGTGGTGACACCTTTACAACTGGGTTCCTCCTGGGGGAGCTGGGAAGTGATGATGGGGAACCCATACTGAGGAAGCGTACGTGTCTTCCTGGAATTCAAAGGTGTTCTCTTTCTAGAGGTGCCATGTAGATATTAATGCTTGGAATGGCAATAGGGTAGAATTATTAATCAAAGGCCTATCTTCATATCTGAAGACTATCCTTCCTTCAGGGTTTAATAGATTTAATAGACTGAGTCAGATGGGTCTGATATTAATCAAAATTGTCTCTTCTGAGGATGGCTGATAAGCATTGACTTGCTGTCCCCTGGGGACATCCAGGCAACTACAAAGCACTGCTTGAGTTTTCACTTCAATTAATGTTGCATTTTGTTTGGCGAGTGTACATTTTTCCTACCTGTACATAC